GCTCCCCCACAGCAGCAGCCGCAGCAGCAGCCGCAGCAGCAGCAGCAGCAGCATCCTGCTGCAGCGCATGCAGGCAACACTGCTAAGCAGCAAAGACACCAGCAGCAACCTGGTGGTGGGGGATCGTCTCCTCCAGCATCCCAGCAGCAGCATCATCAGCAGCAGCAACAGCAGCAGCAGCAGCTTGACCCACCAGGGCACGAGGCAGCAGCAGCAGCAGCAGCAGCACCTCGTGGTGGGGTGTCTCCTCATGTAAGGGGAGGAGGATCGTCACATAAATCTTCTTATAAGTATGGTCATGGTAATCGAGTAAGTCCTGCTGCTCCTGCTGCTGCTGCTGCTGCTGCTGTTGCTGCTGCTGTAGATGCTGCTGCGTAGATGTTGCTGTGTTTTTAACGATGGTGTTGATGACGAGTTGCTGCTGCTGCTGCTGCTGTTGCTCTCTTGCTGCTGCTGCTGCTGCAGCGGTGGGCTTGAATTGTGGGCGTCTGTCTGCGGCTGCAGCATCAACAGCAGCAGCAGCAACAACAGCAGCAGCAGCACTACCAGCAGCAGCAGCACTTGCCTATGAGAGGAGGCCCATTTGGGGGAGGAGGAGGAGGTAATGTGCAGCAGCAGCAGCATCAGCAGCAGCAGCAGCAGCAGCAGCAGATGCTGCAGCAGGGGTCTCTATCCCCAATGGTTGGTTCAAATGCCCCAGCTGCTGCTGCTGCTGCAGCAGCAGCAGCGGGAGCAGCAGGAGGAGCAGGCGTAGTACCTCCTCCCCATCCTCCTTTGCCCCCCGTCATGCAGCCAGCATCAGGAGGTAATGCTGCTGCTGCTGCTGCTGCTGCAGGGCCCTCAAGAGCAGCAGCAGATCCCTCTAGGGCCTCCCCTGTACCCTCGCAGATTAGCAGCAGCAGCACAGGGGCTGTTGGTGATATGGTGTGTCAGTAGACAAACTGCTGCTGCTGCTGCAGCAGCAGCAGCAACAGCAGCAGCAGCAACAGCAGCAGCAGCAACAGCAGCAGCAGCAGGTACTGTTGCTGCTGCTGCTGCAGCACCTAACAGAAGCAAGACCGTATACCTGAGGGGCCCTGCAATGGGCAACGGCTTGCTACTGCAACAGCAGCACCAGCATTTGCTGCAGCAGCAACTGCAGCAGCAGCAGCAGCAGCAAGTGCAGCAGCAAGTGCAGCAGCAACTGCTGCTGCTGCTGCTGCTGCAAGACGCCAGAATTATACGGGGAGACAGCAGAGGTAGAATGAGTCTGGAGGAAGAAAGGGGGTGTCTGCAGCAGCGGTGGAGGCACCAGCTGCTGCTGCTCCTGCTCCTCCTGCTGCTGCTGCATGCGCTGTTGCTGCATATGTGTGTGCAGGGTCGTGGTTGTACAGCAGCAGCAGCAGCAGCACCTGCATGTGACAACAGCAGCAGCAGCAGCTGTTGCTGCTGCTGCTGCGTTGCACCAGTTGCAGGGTGGGGAGTTTACCCCCCTCTTGAGTGGCCCGCAGCAGCGGCAGCCACCTCTGCTGCAGCAGCAGCAGCAGCAGCAAGGGCAGCAGCAGCAGCAATGCACGCTTGCTGCTGCTGCTGTGCAGTCGTTGTTGCTTATAGGCAGACCTCCCCAATTGGTGTTGTATTTAAAGTTTGTCTCCTCCGTTGCTGCTACTGCTGCTGCTGCTGCTATTGTTGCTGCTGTTGCTGCTGCTGCTGCAGCAGCAGCAAGGATTGTACATAATTCTACCAGCAAGGAAGCAGCAATTGTAGATAATTATTTATTTAATAATTTAATTATGTAACTATTAACACACATGCTAGTAACACCAAACAGATCAGCAGCAGCAGGTGTAGCAGCAGCAGCAGCAGCAGCAGCAGCAGCAGCAGAAGCAACAACTTCCCATTATTCGCTAGATAGGAGGATACACCTGTAAGCAGCACAGCTAGCTGTTCCTTACGCAGCTAGCTACAGCTAGCTAGCTATAGCAGCCGTATCTAGTTGTATCTAGTTATGGCTAGCCAGCAGCAGCTAGCTGTGGCTAGCTAGCAGCAGCTAGCTAGCTAGCTAGCTAGCTAGTTAGCTAGCTAGCTAGCTATACAGCAACAAGGAGTTAAGTATTGATGAGTATTTATTAGTTAGGTAAAAACCCTAATAAGAATAAATAAATAAATAAATAAATAAATAAATAAATAAATAAATAAATAAATAAATAAACCCTAATGTAAACCCTAAACCCTTAAATGCATGCAGCGCATGCAAGTCGGTGATATACAAATGCTGCTGCTGCTGCTGCTGCAGCAAGCAGCAGTTCTGCAGCTGCAGCAGCAAGCAGCCGTGCTGCTGCTGCAGCGCTGCAGCAGCAAACTATACTCCCACAAGATATACAAACCCTAAACCCTCAGACAAAAGGGAAAACCCCGCTGCTGCTGCTGCTGCTGCTATTGCTGCTGCTGTTGCTATTGCTGCTGCTGCTTCTATTGCTGCTGCTGTCTACGATGGGCACGCTGCCGCTGGAATTATAACGATGCTTCCTCGACCTGTAGCACCTGCTGCTGCTGCGGTGCTGCTGCTGCTGCTGCTGCTGCTGCTGCGGTGCTGCTGCTGCTGCTGCTGCAGATTGCTAATGTACCACTGCGTCTAAGGCAGCTGCAGTCATTCTGCTCCATCAGGTAGCTGCTGCTGCAGTTGCTGCTCTTGCTGCTGCTGCTGTTGCTGCTGCAGCAGCAAAATTTGCTGCTGCTGCTCATGCAGATTTTTCATCTGCTGCTTCTTCCCTTTTTGCTGCTGCAGCTGCAGCAGCCGCTGCGAACGTTCGTCTTCTTCCAGTAGCTGCTGCTGCTCATGCTGCTGCTGCTGCTTCTGTTGCTGCTGCTGCTGCATGTCAGCTGCTGGGTCTTTTCTTTGCTGTATATTAACAGTTTGTCTTCTCTTCTTGTGCAGGGGGCCCCTGGGGCCCCCCCTCTCCGCTGTATCTGCTAAGGAGGTACTATTATGGGTCCTACTAGTGAGCTCAGAATCTGCTGCTGCTGCTGCTGCTGCTGCTGCTGGCGGTGTTGCTGCTGTTGCTGTTATCGTTCCTGCTGTTGCTGGTCTCATCGTTGCTGTATCCGTGGCTGCTACGGTCTCTGCGGGTGCTGCTGCTACTGCTGCTGCTGCTGCTGCTGCTGCTGCTGCTGCAGATGATTCAGGACCTGTAAGCTCCACATGGGGCCCATCTGTGGGCATCTCTTCGTCATCTAAGCAAGTTGCTTCTGCTTCTGCTGCTGCTGCTGCTGCTGCTGCTGCTGCTGCGCCTCTTGGCGAAGCGTTGCCAAAGACAGGCCCTGCACAAACAACGAGTAGCACAAATAAATCCTCTGGACACACAGCAGCAGTAGCAGCAGCAGCAAGAGCAGCAGCAGCAACCGTAAGACAGCAGCAACAGCAACACCAGTAGCAGCAGCAGCAGCAGCAGCAGCAGCAGCATACCTAGGAGGGCCCCTAGTTGTTCCATAGTAGAGAGTTCTTTATCAACTAGTCGTACCCTTACATGAGACCCAAACGCAACACGCCGTCGCTGCTGCTGCTGCTGCTGCTGCTGTTGCTGCTGCTGCTGCTGTTGTTGTTTCTGCTGCTGTTGATTGTCTTGATTGTCTTGCAGTAGCTGTTGTCCATCACTCCCGGGAGCAGCAGAAGAGGCAGCAGCAGCACCTACTGCTGCTGCTGCTCCTGCTGCTGCCCACGTACGCGAGTGCGCAGCAAGACAACTCTTTAGGGGGCGCTGTATAGGGGGCCCCCCCGGGCCCCCTTCCTTACGTGCTGTCTTATGAATAGGTATGGGTACAAGAGGGGGCCCTTCATCAATTGTTTGGGGCCCCCCATCTACGTGCATGCAGGTATCCGCAGAAGTATCTGCAGCAGCAGAGTTCTCTCCTGCTGCTGCTGTTGCTGCTGTTGCTGCTGCTCCATAGTCTAGCAAACGTCTCACACCTGAGGCCCCACAGCCCTCTGGGCTTTGGGTCTCCCCTGGGGGCCCCCCTTGGGGGCCCCCAGGGGGGCCCCCTAGTGGTCCCCTCCTACTTTGTATGTGGATAATACCTTGTTCGGTGTGTTCTGTCTGCTGCTTATTGTCTGCGGTGTCTCCGCATGTTGCTGCTGCTGCTGCTCCTCCTGTTGCTGCTGCTGCTGCTGCTTGGTTGCTATTATCTTGTGTCTCCTCTCTATGAGGATCTGTGGGGCTCCCCTCCTTCTTGGGGCCCCCCACCTCCTCATCCTGTTTGGGGCCCCCATCCTGTCCCTGTAGGGGGCCCCCCAAGGACAAAAGAGGGTACTGTTGTGCATGCATATGTTGTGTAGATTCCCCTAACTCTAGCCAATAATCTTCTTGCTGATGATAAGAAAGAAGACATAACTTCTTGCATGCAGAGGATAAATTAGGGTCTGCTGCTGTCCCCTTATGCAGCAGCAGCGCATGCTGCTTAATTAATTTAAATCTTGCTGCAGTGTATGTACACATAGGACAATGATAATGCCATACAGGGTTTGGGGGCCCCCCCCAAACGGGGGGCCCAGGGGGGGCCCCGGGGGCCCCCCCAGGGGCCCCGCACCCGGGGGGCCCCCCACAATCACCATTATATACAGATACACTTAATGCTACAGGACGACGCATGCGAGAGGGACGGGCAGGCACCAACTCTTCTGCTGCTGCTGCTGCTGCTGCTGCTGCTGTTGCTGCTGCTGCTGTTGCTGTTGTTGTTGTTGCTGCTGCTGCTGTTGGTGTTGCCGCTGGTGGAGAATCATCGAGACGCGTTCCTGCTGCTGTAGCATCAGATGCTGCTGCTGCCGCTGCTGCTGTTGCTGTTGTTGCTGCAGCTGCAGTAGCACCGATGCCATCCTTCCCTGTTGCTGCAGCATCTCCTGTTGTTGCATCTCCTGTTGCTGCTGTATCGCCTGCTGCTGCTGCTGCTGCTGCTGCTGTGTCCTCTATAGTACCGCTTGCTGCTGCTGCTGCTTCTCCCTCGCCATCGTTACTATGATCCTGCATAACAATAACACACACACCACCCCCACATCCTTAGCAGCAGCAGCAACAACAACAACAACAACAGCAGCAGCAGCAGCAGCAGCAGCAGCAGCAGCAGCAGCAGCACCCAACACTGTTTCTCCCTCCCCCCTACACCCCATCATCACCCTTAACAATACAATCCTCTAATCATGATCAGCAGCAACCCCACCACCCCACGACGACTACCACCACCCCCATCAGCAGCAGCAGCAGCAGCAGCAGCAGCAGCAGCAAACAGCAGCAAGAGGAGTAACTTACTAATCTACAAGGGAAGCAAACAAATGCACCAATATATCTTCTTTTTATCCAATGTTGTTGTGTATAATGTATATAATTATTATTATATACATTAGGGTACCAAGCAGCAGCAGCACAAAGAGGACATAAATATAATAATTTATTCTTATTTATTCTCTTCTTTTTTCTTATTATTATTCTTTGCTGCTGATGATGATGCTGTTGTTGTTGTTGTTGTTGTTGCTGCTGCTGCTGCTGCTGCTGCTGTTGATTATTTGTATTCTGCTGCTGATTATTATTATTTTGATTACCCTGGTGCTGCTGTTGCTGCTGCTGCTGCTGCTGCTGCTGCAGCAGCAGCAGCAGCTCCTCCTCCTCCTGCTGCTGCTGTAATAATAATTGGGGGGCCCCTATCTCATGCATACCCTCTATACGTAAGGGTATAACGGGGGCCCTTAATAGTTCATAAGATTTTTTTGCTGGTATAGTTGCTGCTGCTGCTGCTGCTGCTGCTAATTGCTGCTGCTCATTGCATGCAGTACCCTCCTCTCCTCCTTCTTCTTCTTCTGAGGAAGAAAAGGGAAAAGAATCATCAGAGGGGGGGCCCCCTAATGCTGCTGCTGCTGCTGCAGCAGCAGCAGCAGCAGCACAGGACGGAGGGGGGCCCCCACCAGCAGCAGACTCCCTCTTATAAGGACGGGGGCCCCTCCTTCCTCCTGCTGCTGCTGACCCTAAGGGTTTCTTCTTTATCCCTCTCTCCCCCTTACGTAGTATACGACGCTTCCTCTCTGTGGGGCCCTTTGCTGCTGCTGCTGCTGCTGCTGCTGCTGCTGCTGCTGCTGTTGCTGCTGCTGCTGCTTCCTCTGCTACACCTGGTTCCCTCTTTATTGCTGCTGCTGCTCTTTGTGCTGCTGCTGTTGTACCTACACGTGCAGCAGCAGAATGAGTGGTACCCACAGCCATTGCCGCTGCTGCTGCTGCTGCTGCTGCAGTCACTTGCCTCCCCTTTCGGGGACCCCTTGGGGCCCCCCTTGGGGCCCCCCTTTGGGGCCCCCTTGGGAGAGAGGGCCCCAATCCCTGCCGGGGGCCCCTCTGTTGTAGGGAGGAAGGGGATAAGTTTCTTGCTGCAGCAGCAGCATCCGTTGCTGCTGCTCTTTGTCGAGGAGACAAAGGAGAGGAGACTCTAAAGGGGACACCTGATGCTGCTGCTGCTGCTGCAGCAGCAGCAGCAGCAGGAGCAGCAGCAGGAGGGGGGAGGAAGGGAGATGAAGGCTCCAACCCTGTCTCTGCATGCAGCAGCGCATGCCAAGGAAGATCAGCGGCCCCCGTGGGGGCCCCCAAAGGGAGAGGGGGGGGCCCCATGGAGGGTCTTATGTTTCTTCTTCCCTGTATAGTCCCCATACGTAAGGAATCAGAGGCAGCAGCAACAGCAGCAGCAGCAACAGATTGCATGCGTGGTACCGCTGAAGGAGGGGGCCCCGGGGGGCCCCCCAACTCAGTGCTACCCCATACAGGTACCGACCCAACGGGTGTGTGGGCCCCCAGGGGGCCCCCAGAGGGGCCCCTCTGGGGGCCCCCCACAACACCCTGAGATCCACCTTGAAGAAGTGCAGAGGGTGCATAGGGGCCCCCTTGGAGGCGCTGTATACCGTATAGAGGCCCCTCTGGGGGCCCCTCAGCAGGGCCCCCAGGGCCCCCCCAACTCTGCTGACCTCCTGCACGTCTTGCTAGTGGAGGAGGTCCGCGTACACCCTGCTGCAGCACACTGCGATCCAGTACTGCCTGTTGCTGCTGCTGCTGCTGCTGTAGCTGCTGCAGTTGCTGTAACTGTTGTAACTGCTGCTGCTGCTGCTGCTGGTTGGAGGGTGTTCTGTGTTGTGCTGCTGCTGCTGCTGCTGCTGCTGTGTCCCGCTGCAGTGTTAATGGTCTTGCTGCAGCAACAGCCATAGCCAACCTTCGTACCTCCGCAAGCCTAAGGAGAGAAGCAGCAGTTAGCTGCAGCGCAGCAGCATTGGGGGGCCCCCTTTGTAGGGTATTAGGGTTAATAGAAGAGGCGAGGGGCCCCTGCAGCAGCTGCTGCAGCTGACTATATAAACGTACCTGCTGCCCTAATAACTGCAGCACAGGGGAACGAGGGGCCTCGGGGGCCCCTGATGGGCATGCAATACCCTCCGAAGGGGCAGAGGATGTGGGGCCCCCCTCTGTAGACACCATCTGCATGCAAAGGGGGCCCCTCCCCCCT